CTGGGCTCCACGTGCGCTCCACGTGCGCTCTCCTCCGAGCGCTCCCCGCCGGCGGACGCAGCGGTCGACGCTACTCGTGGTCGGCGCCGCACGAGGGCGCTCGCGCGTCGGGGCCCCCCTGCGTCGGAGCGCTCTTCCCCTGTCGGGAGGCGGTGGGGCGTGCTCCGCGCACCGGGCGCAGCGAGAAAGGGGGGATAGGCAGAAGGGGGGGATGCATCGACCCCCCGTCGCAGGGGCGGGGGGCCAGGCATAATGGGGGCTAGGCATAAGGGAGATAGGCGCAAGGGGGATAGGCACAGGGGGGCATCGGGAGCAGCGGCACAGAGGGGGATGGGCATAGGGGGGGGGATGCATCGACCCCCCAGTCGCCCAATGGAGCGCCGAGGGGGGCCCGACAGGTCCCTGCCCGCCTGGGAACGTGCTCCACGCACCGGGAGCAGCGATAAAGGGGGGATAGGCATAAGAGGGGGATTACGTTGCATCTTCGGGGGACCTCGCCTGTCCCCAAAATTGGCGTCTTTTCTTGTGCCCGACGCGGGCTCGGTTCAGCCTCGACACGGATTTGGCATGTATTCGACGCGGTTTCGACACGGATTCGACACGGATCCGACGAGGCCGACATGGATTCGACATGGATTCGACGCAGATAGGGCCGCGACGGGACAGACAAGGTTCCCCGAGGATGCAACATAAGGGGGATGCACCGACCCCCCCGTCGCCCATGGAGCGCCGAGGGGGGCCCGACAGTTCCTGCCCGCCCGGGCACGCGCGGATTCTTTCTCTCTATTCGGGGGGCCAGCCGCTGAGCTATCGGCGACGTAATGCCGGTTCCCGGTCGACATGTCCCCCCCATATGCCAAGTGCCCCCCCCTCCCCTTGTCGTTGCGCCTCAGCGTGGGGGCAGAAGCGAAGGCCGGGCGCCCGCGCAGGGGGCCGCGCACGGGGCTCCGCGCTCCCTGGGCGTCGTCGTGCCCCTGCGTGGCCACGAGGCACCTGCACGCCGCTTGCCCCCCTACGTCACTGTGCGTGGAGCACTTCCCGTGCCTCGCTCACTGCGGACCCTCGCCATGGGGGAAGCGGGTCCTCCGGGCAGCGGGTCCTGAGGTCGTCTTTCGCTCTTCCCGGGCTCCCAGGGCCCTCCTCCTCCTCCTCCTCCGCCTCCTCCTCCTTCTCCTCCTCCTCCTCCACCTCCTCCTCCTCCTCCTCCTCCTCCTCCTCCTCCTCCTCCTCCTCCTCCTCCTCCTCCTCCTCCTCCTCCTCCTCCTCCTCCCCCCCCTCAGCTGGCCCCTGGATGGTGAGACGACGATCCGGGTTGAAGCATTGGGTCCTGGGGGAAGGCCCCAGGGCCCAGGACCCGCTTCCCTCAGGGCCCGCTTCCCCCGTGCTGGAAGCACCTGGAGACGACTCCGCGCCACGAGGCGCACCCTTTCGCCAGACCTGGCGGGCTGGAGCGCAGAGGGGCTCCGCTGCCGGCAGCCGTGCAGCCGCGCTCTCGTTCCGCCGGCGCAGCTGGGCACCCCAGGTTTCAGGAGGGAAAAAAACACACACAGACACAATTAATCGACGATCCCCAGGAAAGTAGGGGAAAATATGGGAAGAGGGGGGGAAGACAACAACCCAGAAAATATGGGGAAATATTGGGGATCTGGTTATTTGTGTGTATTTATCTGTGTGTCCCAGGGCCCCTTCAAGGTTGAGCTGTGGGGGGCTCGCCCTGGAGCTGCTCCGGGCCCAGACCCCCTATAGAGTCAAATCACGGCGGAGGGTTTTCCGTAATTTTCCGCCTCTGGGGCCTCTGGTTTCTAGAGCTCGGACCTCTCCATTTTCGTCGTCGTTCGTGGGTTCGTCGTTCGTCCTCACCCCCTTGGCCGTCCTGGCCCTGCCCTGGACCCAGCCCTCCGCCCTGCCTTTGCACTGGAGTCAGTGTCAGCCCCCCTGGCCCCCTGTCTATGCCCTGGACCCAGCCTCTCTCGCCCTTCCCCCCCTGGCCTCCCTGGCCCCCCCCCTGGTCTCACTGGACCCAGCTCTCCCCCCTACCCTTGCCCTGAACCCAGCTCCTCTCGCTCTCCCCCCTGGCCTCCCGAACCCACTCCCCGGACCCAGCCCCCCTCGCTCTCCCCCCCCTGGCCTCCTGTCGTCGTCCTCCCCCCCCCCAGCCTCCCGTTCGTCGTCCTCCCCCGCCCCCGGCCTCCCTGCTTTCTCCCTGGCCCCTCATGGTCCTTGCCCCAAGCCTCCCGCCTTCTCTTGCACAGCTGTGTTCTAGAGCTCGGGCCTTTATATTCTCTTGCACAGCTGTGTTCTAGAGCTCGGGTCTCTTTATTTTCGTTCTTCGTTCGTTCGTCGTTCGTCGTTCGTTCTCCCCCCCCGGCCGCGGAAGGAAACTCCTGGAGGAAGGAGGCGAACGCCTCCTGTCCCGCGCAGCTCCTCGGTGCCGGAGCCAGGGCACGCGCGCCACGCGTCACGGCGGAATGTCTTCTCCGTTGTTTTCTGCCCCTGGGGGCCCTTACCTTACGGGGCCTCGGGCCCCAGGGCCGTCAACGAAACGACTCAGGATGAACAACTGGTCCCAGCTTTCTCAGGAGGAAAGGAAACACACAGACACACTTCATCGTCGACTCTCCAGAAAATATGGGAACATATGGGAAGTGGGGGGAAGACAGAAACCCAGAAGACATGGGAAAATCTGAGGAATCTGGTTATTTGTGTGTATTTATTTTGTGTGTCCCAGGGCCCCTTCACTTTCAGCAGCAGGCGTCCAGCTGCTTGGCTTGCCACGAGGCGTGCAGGCGCCCCGTGAGATGCCTCGGACGGCTCTCGTGTCGCAAAGGCGCTGCGGTGCGCTGCGGTGAACAATTGTCAGGAGGGAAAAAACACACATAATCAAGTCATCGTCCACTTCCACGAAAACATGGAAACATATGGGAAGTGGGGGGGAAGACAAAACCCCAGAAAACATTGGAAAATATCGGGAATCCTGTTATTTGTGTGTGTGTATTTATTTGCGTGTCCCAGGGCCCCTTTCAAACTGGTCCCGCGGAAGGGGTCGAGCCCTCCGGGGGGGGTCGACGTCTTGACAACTGCCATGGCGACGGGGGCCCGGGGGGGGGGGACGGCGGCGGCGCGACCGCCGTGCTCTCCCCCCCCCCCCGCCTTTTTCGTCGACTCTCTTCACCTCCCCGCCGGGCGCCGTCGCCAATTCTCAGGAGGGCAAAACACACATAGACACAAGTCATCGTCGATTCCCCAGAGAATAGGAAATATGGGAAGTGGGGGGAAGACGAAAGCCCAGAACATATGGGAATATAGGGGGACTCCTGTTAGGTGTGTCTATTTGTTTGCGTGTCCCAGGGCCCCGTCAAATTATGGTGAAAGAGTGGTTGTCCCATCGCTGTTCCGCTTGCTCTGCGTCGAAGAGCTTTGGGAGGACCCGGAGAGAGCCTCCGAAGGACCCTGTGGAGAGCTTCTGGACGCGCGTCTTGGGAAGCTTCTGCAGGGACGCGCCACCACCTCGCACAGCCTGCTGCGACGCTGGGAGACGGAAGCCGGAACGAGCTCCGGGGCCACCCGATCCTTGCCGCACCGCCGCCGCGACGGACACGTGCGGTGCTCCAGGACGTGCCTGGCCTTCGAGGGTCCGAAGGCGGCGGGGTCGCCGCCTCGGGGGACGCGGGCGGGAGCAACACGAGGTCGCCTCCGCAGGCGGAAGGCCAGCGGAAGCGGGCAGGATGGAGCACCTGCTTCTCTTTCGGGGAGGCGTAAGATTCGAGTGAGCCAGAACTCGGGTTTGCCGACGTTTTTCGACGAGCGCGCCCTGGATTTTGACGGTCCACCTTTCGTGGGATGTTTGGAGCGGGAGCTCGCGTCAAATTTCAGATCGGGTCTCGCCATTTTTATGATGGCCCCGTCAGGCCAACCCGAGTCCCCCGGTGCCCGAGTCTCTCGTCTCCCCGATTCTCAAGAGATGACAACCTGTTTTTTGGC